ATATTAATAATAACAATACTGTATATTCAAATTTTCGGGAAAATAGGGTAAGCCGTTTTGATTTGTTGTTGTTCACAACTTTCAATACATAACTGCGAGGACAGTTTTTTTATTTATTCTCATTTTTTTTAAATTTTGTTGACATTTTTGCATCACGTAGTTTAAAAGATCAATATTTCAGTTATTTATGGAAATTTTGGAACTTGGTTTTCACCACTGTTTTCAGCTTGCAAAACTTTAGAAATCGTACCAGGTCTATTTTTGACTTTAAGTGTTGAGACTAAGGTATAGTTAAAATAAGCTACGACACAAGCTTTTTTTATTGTGTGTCGTTTCCAACAAAAAAAGTTGGCGATATAACTTGTACGATTTCTGGAGTTTTGTAAGCTGAAAACAGTGTTGAAAACTGTGTTCTGAAATTTCCTTTAATAATTGAGATATTGATTTTTAAAAATACGTTATACAAAAATTTACTAGAATTAAAAGAAAAGTTTAATCACAAATTGTTTTTAACAAAATTGCTCTTCCGTTATACATATGTAAAAAAAGTTATGGACAACACATATTTAAAATTTCAAAACAATAATTCTACTCAGAAAACATAGCGACTGGCATTAAGTATTAGAAATAGAAGAAAAAGTCGAAGACCAAATTTATATGGTTCTTTGAGGACTATACTCTAAAATTATTTTTAACCATACATATACAGTGTTTATTTTTAAGTCGTAGCAGACAACCTCGTTTTTTTTAATGATTTATTCTATACATTTTGATAAATATGTATATATATATATATATTGGTTCGCCTCTTATCAGGCTTTAGAACTGCGAGTACAATCACAAAAAAACGCAGTAGGGTTATTTTTAACATCTGTGTTACAATATTTTGTGGAAAAATAAAATAAAGGTCCGCGCTTTGTTGTGGTATAACTTAAATGAAATTTTCATATACAGAGTGTTTGTATTTTTTGTATTTATTACAATTTTCAAATATCGATATTTCAGTTTTTCGAATAGAATACCCTATATGTTATTACTCTTTCTTAATTTTTTTGAAGTATTTCCTATATTTAAAGTTGATAGTTACTACGATATTTTACTTTATTAAGAGACACATCGAAATATTACAATGAAAACAAAAATAGAGTAAGATACAGTGATACAATAATAGTATTTGAAAAAACTGAAATATCGATACTTGAAAACTGTGAAGTTTTAGAAACACTCTGTATATTGAAAATATTGTAAGACATACTTTAGAAAAAATTCTATTGCGACTTTTCTTGTGAATACTTCCACTGCCAAAAAATTCCAAGAAAACTAGAATAACATGGTAACATCAAATCAGAATTTTGAGAGGAAACTGTTGTTATAAAACCTAGGAAGAAGCTAACAAGAATATGTAAAAACATATAAGGTGTTTCATTTAAAAAACTAAGTTGTGTGCACCTTAGAAACAACATTCTGTGTAGTTAAAAAAAATTAAGAACAGTCCTTAAAGAACCGTATATATACAGAGTGAGTCACTAAGCGCGCGTTTCTCGATATCTCAGTAATTATTGAAAATAGAAAAAAAGTCACAGGCTAAAGTTGTTATATATACACTACGATTAGTTTCAAACAGTGTGTTCCGTAGCTTTCTTTTGAAATTTCAATGCGATTTTGGCAAGTTGTTCAAATTTTCTTAACATTTTTACTTCCCGAGCGTAATCTAAGCGAGTATAGTAATCAAGTCCATCGGACAAATGGCCACTTTTATGTTTTCTCGACATTTCATGAGCTCTACGGCACCAAAAATGTAGTCTCCCGCTTCCGTTTGTCTGTCTGTCTGGTGTCTGTATGCATTTTTATTAGATACGTAATCTCCGAAACTGCTGGACGGATCGTTGTCAAATTTTGTATATATAATAGAAATATCATGTAAATGGTTAAAAGCTAACCAAAAGTTTGCTAATCATCCCCAACAACAATTTAATGACGTAGTTTCAAAGAATTCTATGCCTTGATTGAACTGTTATACAACTATATACTCCTATAAGTGTGGAATACGAATTTGAGTTTTTCCCTAACCGTCCAAATTTTTGCAAACACATAAACACCATTGATGATTGAGGCTGAGGAATGCGGACCGGACGTGGCGCGTTCGATTTTTTTGACGTAATAACAAATTTTTTTGGGCAAATTAAGAACGAATTACCCCCTTTTCTCGAAAATTTGGGAATACGCGCGTCTTTATATAATAATGATAAAATAAGATTTATAGTATTCAGAACATTTTGTTCGATTGTGGTTTAATTAATAATTTTAGTCCACTGTTTTGAGAAAACAAACTCATCCAAATCAAACTAATTTCTACGTGAGATTTTTTCTATGTATAAACATAAATAAACACTTGAATTTCAGATTGCTATTACCTAGTGCTGAAGGACATTTTATCCCGTTAGTTAAGTTCTTTAAATATATTTTACGTACGGCGCAGGGGTGTAAGTTAATGGTTTCTGCGATTTTTCATTTTTTACGAAATGCAGCTACATATCAAAAGAAAGAGAATAAAAAACAGAGTAAGACGCAGTAATAAAATACAGGGTGTTCAAAACTGAAACACCGATATTTGCTAATTGTAATGCTTTAGATTTTTATAAACAATTGGTGCATTAAAATTTAGTTTAATTGAGACCACAACGAAGCATGTACCTCTCTTCAACTCCCTATAAAATGTTATAACACATATTTTAAAAATAATCCGATTGTAATTTTTTAATCTATTTTTCTATCTCTAATAATAAATGAGATATCGAAGATGTCGCACTTAGTGACTCATCCTGTATATATTGCATTTAAAAAAATATAAGTTTGCGCCACGACGCCGACGCTATGTATACGTTTTAGTGGCAATGTATTAGCAAGTATTTTAGTTTCAAGCTTCCCCGTTTTGAGGCTAAAAACAATGACGTTTACAGAAGTTCAATATTTCTTAGTGTGTTATGTTAACGGTAACCTTCAAAACCTGCGAAAATCAAACCAATCGATTCAGTAGTTTCTATAATCTATATCTATCTATCTATAAATTACAAACATATTAGTGTATGTAAGTTAAATTGTATTTAGTCAGTGAAATTTTGAGATGATGTTATCAAATTTTTAAGACATGAGCAGATGAATTCTGATTAACGATTTATCACGTTTGCAATAACTCTAAAATGTGTACAAAAATTTTTAGAGCAATCGCTGTTGTATTTTTTGGGTTGTAAAACTTTTTTGTAAAATTTACTCCTATTTCTTTTCTAAATATCTACTTCCATACGATTAAAAATAAGGGTAAATCACTGGTATAGAAATATATTATTGTGAATACCCTGAATATGATTTACTTTCTTACATTTTGAGATCACTTCATCACATTTTTAATGACAAGAATCAGAAAAAAAAATTGTTAGCCATTTAAAAGTAGTGGTGAGCATGCATTTGATATACGTTTTACTAAATAACTTTGATTCACTTTTTAGTAAGTCAATACTCTGGCATATAAAATACAACACAATTTAAGATAATGTTACGTATCGGCAGAATTAAAAAATATATATAAGAGCCCTTTTTGAAGTAAGCAAAAAAAAAATTTGGATAGAAAATTTAAAAAATTAAAAAAATACTGCTGAAACAGAAACTAGTTAGACAGCAACTTATTTCATTTTTTTTAATATGATGATGACGTCTCGATCGGATACACAAATAAACTTTTGTTAATATTTTTTATTCTCATATGATGTTGATTAAGAGATACTGTTATTATAAATCTAAAAATTACTACACTGAAAGTCAGATTTCTTCGTGAAATTGCTTCTCGTATTTTGCCATTTTTGTAATAAAATAACGCAGTCACTATTGATATCTGACAAAGAAATATTTTTTAAATGGCTACTAAAAAACTAATAAAAGTAATTAATAAGTAAATCATTTTTTAATGTGACATAAATACCTGTCACAATTAATTCTTCGATTTTATTTAAAGCATAAACATCCTCTTAAATATTATTCAGTGATATTTCTACGCCTCACAAACAAAACTTTCTACTCATTGAATAATTCAAGAGAAACAACTGCGAAATTTATAAAATTTACTGTCGTTCTTAGGTAGAGAACAGAAGAATAATAACTTTGTTATGGCGAGGTAAAAACAATGGGGTTGAATTCGGTTGTCAACATCAATTATTATCAGTCAAAACGTTCTATAAAAGAAAGGAAAAAACGTTCAGTCCTAATGGATTTAGAGCAAAAATTGGTGGCACAAAAGATGTATAACGCAACAAAAGTGAAAAAGTTGTCTATTGTATTCCACTTAAAGTTAGCGGAAAAAACCCTTTTCAAAGATTAATTTATAGTTGCCTATTGAATGTCGATAAATTTTAATCTCACTAAGAATTGTTGCAATAAATAAAACTTCCCGAAAATATAAGACTGGGATGACATATTGTGTCCCGGCGCCTCCACCAAATAGATACGTGTGGAACAACGATGTGTTTCATCGACATAAAGAATATATTAAATTGTTTGAAAATTGTTCTGTCATCATTAAGGCCATTTGTTCCTAAAATAGATCATCATAAATTATCCCCGAAACAATACATTGATGTAAATGATTTATTAAACACTAACTATGAAAGTTGTTTTTTTTTCTCAGCATACCAAGTCGGCCAACCACTTTGATTAAATATAAAACGTACTAATTAATAATGAATAGTATATTTTTAAAATGGAACAACCCTGTCTTACCGTGACATCATATAGAAAACAATTTGTTCGTCCAGCAGAAACAATTTGTGCTGTTACTTTTGTTATTGATTCAAGGATTAGATGTTGAAAACAAACTTAACGTCTATATTGCACCAGGAGCCTAGTGAAAAAATCTCATATAGAACTTTTTTCATTAGAAAGCAAAAAATCCCATTGTGCCAATTATGTAGCATATTGGCCCTTTTCATACAAGCTTTTCTTTGTTTCAGAATCGTCGTCTCTCAAATCTGTGAGGATCCGAGTGCCGGAAGTAGTCAAATCTGGAGAAACGGTGACGTTATCGTGCGAATACGATCTGGAAGAGGTAGCTCTATACACGATCAAATGGTATTGGAAAGACTTGGAGTTCTACCGCTTCGTCCCGAAAGAGTCTCCACCATTTCGAGCTTTCACGATGAAATACATTAACGTCGATGTGAGTCGGATTTATGAATTATGTTCAATTACGAAAACAAAAACGTATTTCTTTGTGCGCGGAAACGTTATGTTTGTTTTGTTTGGCTTGAGTGTATCGAGGAAATGCTGAAATTGGAATTGCCATAGTTACAGTATGGCTGAATCCGCTTGAAGATGAGCTTGCCGGCAATAAAAGTTAAGTAGCGCAGATTTAGGGATTGTAATAAGTGCCTCTGTACACACACGGGCTCAGCGACAGGTAATATTCCTTCGACCAATATTATCCAGCGCAGAGATCAACAGTGTTAAGGAAATCTCTTGAAAATTTCAACGTTTAATATTACGCTTTGGTTCCGTCTAATTGTCACTTCTAGTTTCATGCTGGATTAAAAATTTACGATTTTCAAGATATTAAAAAAGAATTTAATAGTCAAGAAAAGACATCATGAAATACTACCGTCCTGAACAACTGCATATTTTAAAGCCTTATGTTAAAAATGAACAATATGTTAATAACTAGAAAAATTGTTTTCCTAATATTCTAAGTCGTGACATTCACAGATTATTTGTTTTAACATCTGTGAAAGCAGTTTCAGAAAATAAAAAAATGTTATTGTACCGAAACACCGGCAATAACCCGTCTATCAACAAATTTATTTTTTCAAGACGATGTCAACAACTTTATGGCTGGGAAGATGTATTGATTTTGATATGTAAAATGCGAGGGTAATGAAAACCTTACTACGTTCCCAGAACTACAGGTAAATTAGATAAACCTTTTCTAGGTTAATCAATAAAATAAATCTTTTTATACAATGATATTTTAAACATTTTGATGTTAGCGAAGCACGTGCAGTACCAAGCGTAAACTTGGCAAGTATTGTAATAAGATTTATTTGACGAACGGTTAATTTCATGTTTTCTTGACGTTTCATGGCTCTCAGAATATGAAAAAATAGGTCTACCGTTTCCGTTTGTCGGTCGTCTGTCGTATTTTGACGATTTTATTACGCAAATAACACTATGCAACACTAAAAAATTCACAGAAAGTTCAGATAATGTTTGAGGTTGGGTATACTCCATATATTAAAGAAAAAAATGTTTTATACTCATATCACATCACACAACATAGATAACGGGTGTTTTGTTTTTCTTAATTTTTGGGACACTTGATTGCATTTAATCGTAAAAATATCGCTTTTATGTATCCACCCATGCTTGCAGACTTCTGTTGGTGCCTTCAGAGGGATACTGCGAGATCTGGCTACAATAGGAATGCCAATCGTTCGAAAAAAAAAAAGACCTTTTTCAATGAAAAATGAAGTATTGTTTTATTAATTTTGTATGATTTCAAAAAATTCAATAAACACTTTTCATTGTGATACCTGATGAGATAGGTTGGGTACCTATACTCCATATACTAAAGAAAAAAATGTTTTATACCCATATCACATCATAAAACATAGATAACGGGTGTTTTGTTTTTCTTACTTTTTGGGACACTTGATTGCATTTAATCGTAAAAATGTCGCTTTTATGTATCCACCCATACTTGCAGACTTCTGTTGGTGTCTTCAGAGGGATACTGCGAGATCTGGCTACAATAGGAATGCCAATCGTTCGAAAAAAAAGACCTTTTTCAATGAAAAATGAAGTATTGTTTTATTAATTTTTTATGATTTCAAAAAATTCAATAAACACTTTTCATCTTGAAACCTGATGTGATAGGTTGGGTACCTATAATTCATATACTAACGAAAAAAATATTTTATACCCATATCATACCACAAAACATAGATAACGGGTGTTTTGTTTTTCTTACTTTTTGGGACACTTGATTGCATTTAATCGTAAAAATATCGCTTTTATGTATCCACCCATGCTTGCAGACTTCTCTTGGTGTCTTCAGAGGGATACTGCCAGATCTGGTTACAATAAGAATGCCAATCGTTCGAAAAAAAAGACCTTTTTCAATGAAAAATGAAGTTTTGTTTTATTAATTTTGTATGATTTCAAAAAATTCAATAAACACTTTTCATTTTGAAACCTGATGTGATACGATTCTTTCAAGCATAATCCTCAATTGAGTTTGAGGCAAGAAATTTTAACTACATACTGTGCATTCTGTGAATTTTATTTTTTTTTAATTTGTTGCATAGTGTAATTCCTGAAACTACTGGAGTATGAAATATTATTGATATTTTAAGAACATAAGAAATTTGCAGAATAAAATTTTATAATTTATTTAAGAAACTGGGATTGTTTGGTGTTTATTTAAAATGTAACATTTGATTATCCAAATTTGAAGCAAATTTTAACTAAAATTGAGAAATAATAAATTCTTATTTCTCGGCCGTAAGCTAAGGAAGTATTGTAACGGCAACTTTCTTATTAAACACATAATATCTGAAACTACTGGACTGATTGTTGTTAAAAAAAACAATTCTTGTATAACAACATTTTAATGGTTGATTGGTTTAAATATGGCGGATTCGATCCTCTCATATACCACTTTTTTTTTACTTCTGGAGCGTACGCTAAATAAGTTTTGTAGTAGGAACCATCGAGTGAAGGCAGATAATTGTTAAATTTTAAACGGATGTTAGGAATATTGTATAGATGGTAAAACGCTAACCAAAATTTATTTAAACATCCCCACTAACAATCTAATGACGGTATCTTAAAACTTTGCTTAGTACATGCCATATAAATTTTATAAAATAACATACGCCTGTACTTGCAGATTATTATTTGCCTTGATTTTCTTTGTTGTTATAATTTTTATTATTCAATATTTCTCGTACAGGTTTACCTGTACTTTAGCAGTCCATTCGTAGATGAATCTGTTGGACTGGTTGCAAACAAGCTTGGATCAATATTTACTTCCCAAGCGTAAGCGAGTCCGTCGGTCGACTTTCTACTTTTACGTTTTCTCGACCTTTCATGACCCCTACAGGACGAAGAAATAGGTATCACGTTTCTGTCTGTCTGTCCGTCTGTCTGTCGTCACGGATTTTAATGGACAGATAATCTCCGAAAGGAGCCTGTTTAAAGCTAAAATTATAATAAAAAATCTCCGAAAGTACTGGGCCGATTGTTGTCAAATTTTGTATTTATATTAGGAATATCATGTAGATGCTAGAACGCTAACCAAAATTTCTCTAATCATCCCCACCACTAATACGATGACGTCACTTCAATATTGTACATAGCAAATGGGTTTTAAATTGTATAAAATAACGTAGTCCTAAATATGTAGTTTATGACTCAGAGTAGAGTGTTTACCCAAAACGTCCAGATCTTTGGAAAAAAAATTAAAATTATGAAACATTTTGCAATTTAATTTTGAATCTGCTTAACCGAATGCTTTTTTTTTTAGTCAAAATATATTTGCTTATTCCCTCAAAAAAATTGATGACGTCAGCTCAAAAGTTTTCTGAATAAATCCTTTCTTAAATGTAGAAATATGATGAGTCTGTACTTGTAATTTATCATTCCATGCATATTTTTTTGATTTGCATAGACAGGTTGACTCAAAAAAATCAATAAATGCGTGAATATATTTTATTTATTTAATCGGGAACTACAAAACCGAATGCTTTGAAATCTTGAAGATGTTTTAAAATTATCATAAGCATGGTAAATTTTTCATCAAAATGTATTTGGTCGTCCCCCCTAAAAAATGTATGACGTCACCACAAAATTTTGCTTAATTAATCATATCTAAAATGTACAAAATTTGATGAGTCTGTACTTGTGATTCATCATTTCATTAATATTTTTTGGATTTGCGGATACAGGGTGACTCAAAAAAAAATATCATTGTATTTCAGAAGCGAGGGAAGTTCTGTCGAAACAACTTTCGATCGATTTTTTTGAATTAATAAAATCCCGTTCATCTTTAATTACAAAATGCTACCAAAAATTTTTCCTTGTAAAAAAATTGAGTAAGTTAGCAAACAGTTGTTTTCGCTTCCTACTCTGAGTATATGGTTTCTTAGAATAATGAGTTTGTATCAATGCAAAACCGCGTCTTCGATAGCAGAAGACCTGTTAACAATCCACTGTTTTCTTCGATATTTCGATCTGTATGGTTGTTGTAATACACTATGATGGTTAAAAAAAGTGAATAAGGCAATTTATTTTACTGACTAAATCAAGAATACCCGATATTCCAGAAAATTTGAGAACATATTACAATTTACATGCATGCATGCGAATGCTTCTTTACCTTTACTTTAGTACACACATTTATTTATTTTAACTTATCGGGATTATCATAAAAAATCAAATTTTCAAAATCAAACTTTGTAAATTATCGAAAAATTTTGACAAATTGTACAGTTGCGAGCACGGAATAATGCATGCGTTAATTTTCCTAGTTTAACTAAAAAAAATCATAGGCGTACATATAGAATAAAATGTCAAATCATTTGTCACTTATTCGTATTATTTTAAACCTAAACGCCACTGTTGTGTCATTTTGACATTAAATAACCGTTTTACACTGCGAAAAAGATTTAATTTATCCAACCGAGACAAATGGAAGCATAAACTATTCCATGATCCCAATTGTGCCAATTTTTACTTCCTGAGCGTAAGCTAAAGCCCTACAACACGAAAAGTAGGTCCCACGTTTCCGTCTGTCTGTCCTCTGTCTGTCTATCTATCTGTCTGTTTGTCTGTGTCAATTTTTATTAATCTCTGAAACTACTGGCTAGATTGTTGTCAAATTTTAAACGTATGTTAGAAATATCGTGTAGATAGCAAGACGCTAACCCAAACTGCCTAATCATTCCTACCAACAATCGGAAAACGTCATCTCTAAAATGTACAATATTAAATATTATTTAAATTTTATAAAATGAGATAGAAGAGTTTTTACCTCAGACGTCCTGATTTTTGAAAAAAAAAAATTAAAATTGGACTACAACATTTTACTATTTAACTTTTAAAATATTCTGAAATATTACAAACGTTTTAAGGTCATCTTAGGGATAGTAAATCGTTAATCAAAAT